TTCCCCCACATCCTCATGTGGAGAGGTGAGATCACCCAGGTGCATGTCCCTGCACCCCTGCGTGTCCCTGGGATCTTGGGCCTCTCCCTTGGCATGAGTTCAGACAGGTCCTGCTGTGGTACAAGCTTGTCTGTACTATATTTCTCTTGCAGGACGGGCTCTCCTGCCTCCTGTCAATGACTTTAAGTTTCCACCAGGTCCTGTGTGTGCAAATGCAGTTTTACCAGCATCATCTCTCCCTGCCAAATCCTATATCCGCCAAGAAGCAATGCAGGGACCAGAGGCAGGAGGGAGGCAGCTCTCAGGGTCCAGAGCAGGATACTCCCTCATGCACCGAATCCTGAGGGCTGTTCCAGGGAGAGGTGGCCTTGAGGAATTATTTCATCCCCCACATCAAAGGCTGGTGAAGGCAGATTTTGTCATTCAGCCTCGTCACACCTTGCAGGGAGTTGCTGGTGTCCAGTTCAGGGCCCTCAAAGCTGCTGGGAAGGGTGGGAGCAGCAGCTTTGCACCAGGGCAATCCACTTGTGTCATGGCCCTGAAACCCAGAAAGAGCAGGCTGAGGTGATGGAGGCTTTGACGTTGCTCTGAACTGTGCTGAGGGCAGGACTTGGACTTGGTGTCCCTGTCCCTTGGTATCCCCATCCCTTGGTATCCCCAAAGCAGAGTCACTGCACTCTGCTGGAGCATCCTCAGGGTGGGTGACCTGATCCCACTGGCCCTGCCTTGAGCCAGGTTTGGACCCAAGAGTGTTGAGAACATCCTGCTATGTATGGTGCTGTCTGCAGAGAGGGGAGGGATTGATTCACCCTCAGAACAGGGCAAGAATGGGGTAAATTCATCAGGTAACTTACTTTCTGTGAGCTGTTTGACCAGTGTATTAATTATGAAGTAGTCTCCCCTGTAGAGTCAGGTGGCAGTGCAAGCCTTCAGGGGCCTTTCCACTTAATTATAAATATTAATTTGCACGTCAGCCAGCCAGCTAGCACCCTCCCTGCCCCAGATTTTGGGCTGAGATTAGTCTGCCTCAACCAATCTCCCTCTCTACCCCGCACACCCTTTGCTGGGTCAGCTTGTCTGTGTGTGCCTCAGCAGTGGTCCCTGAGGGAGATAGTTGAGGGATACTCAGTTTGGGGTGGGGGGATGAATTGAGGGCAAATATGATCATTTGGGTGTTCAGCCTTTGCTTGGGGTCCCTGGTGTGAAGCCCTTTTCAGCATGCCCTGAGCTGTGTGTGCTATACCTGAGGGCTGCTGGTGGGCTGGGCTGGGCTGGTGGGGATGGGAGCCCAGCAGTGAACATCCCCTGGCACAGGCAGAGGAGGCACAATGGGTGCTGTACTGTGGGACAGTGCCTGAGTTCAGTGATGACTTTGTGTAGGCAGGGTCGTCGAGCTTCATTCGTAGTTTATTCTGCGCGGTCCTGAAGGCCAGGGAGTCGTTTAAAACACGAGTATTCTTTCTTTTTACCTTTTCTTGCACCCCTGGGTGAAGAAATCCATAGGTGCAGGTCTTCTGCTGGAGGCGAGGGGGTGTGTTCTGCTCAGCTGCTGGGAGCTGGAGCGGCGCCGAGGGCTGAGCGTGGCTGTGCCGGCAGCCGGACCCAAAGCCTGCAGGTGTGTCAGCCCCAGCGGGAGCCTCGAAAATAAATAAAATAAAATAATCATCCTGCTTGCAAACACAGAGCATCGGATTATTATTTTTTTTTTCCCTCCCCTGAAAGCGTGTTTTTGTCTGCCGATGATTGCTCGCTATTCAATTATACTTTGGGGGGATTAGCATATATTTCCCATCCTGCCTCTTCTCTCATTTGCATCCTTCCAAAAGCTCATCTCTGCTCTTTTCTCCACCTGAAGTCTCTCTTCCCCCTTTTCTCCGAAGAAGTAAAACTAACCCCTTTGCCTGGGTGACCTATAAAAACGCCTTCACTTTTTTTTTTCTCCCCTTCTTTTTTTCCTCCGGTACATATGATGAAAAGTATGAGATCATTGGGATTTTTTTAGCCTAAATCTGGCAGCTTTTTTCAAATAACTTGGATGGTGAGATGTAATTTTAGTTTGGGTCCTTGCCTAAAAATAAAGAATAATTATTAGCACATCAGACGTGGATATTGTAAGTGATCGAAAAGGGTTTAAATTGTTCTACAGATACCGGAGCTGCCACCCTGTATCAGCATAAAGGTCTGTCACAGCCCCATCCCATCTCTGGGCTGTGCATCCTTGGGAGCTATAACAAACCTTAATTGGGTGATATAGTTTAAAAAAAAAAATTAACAGTAGGTGTTATTAGAGGGTTAATAATAAGGGTTAATAATAATTGACAGGTGGTGCAATGCTGAAGTCCGAAGCAGCAAGGTGTGTTCTGAATGTTGTATTTATTATTAGCAGTAATGTGATGGTGGTGTCTGTGTGTACCAGCAAAGCCTGGTTATTGGGGAGAGGTTCTGTCTGTTATTTAGAGCCGTGGAAGGGCTTGGGAAAAGCAGTCAGCAGCCAGGCTTGTGTGCCTGGAGGCTTGATTAGCTTTTTCCAGCTTCTTTAATAGGTCAAAAGGTGGTGCCAGGGCTGCTCAGACCCTGCTGGGAGGCTCTGGGATGGCGGGGTTTGCTGGGAGTAGGTCCAGCAGTGTGTGCTCCCAGTGCCATCCGCTGTCATTCTGCGCCGTGGCTGTGCCTGCAGAAGGATGTGCAGGCACCTATTTCGTTGTGCTGGGTCCTGCTTTTGTCATCAGTCAGGAGAGAGGTCTGAGTGCAACCGCCTTGCTCTGGTGATCTGTCCAAGCCTCCTTCCGAAACAGCTCGTGATGTCCCTTGTCCCCCAGCGAGGACAAGGAGCATGTCACCTTGCCACAGAGGAGTCCCATTCTTAGCAGCTAATTTAGAGCGCTGGGAAGTAGTGCCCTGGAATCGCCTGAACTTTGCCTGGAGCGCGACGGGCTCCGGAGCCCTTCAAACAAATCTGGGTTAGCGGAGGACTTTGCAGCCGGGGGCGCTCCCAGGTGCTGCTCTGGCCCTGGGGAGGGGGAGTGTGCTGGTGGGGCTGGGAGAGGTGATGGCTCCACCTCCATGGCTCCATCCAGCCGGGCAGGACCACGGCTCGTGCTGATCTGTGGTGAGAGGAGAGAGCTGTCGATCCCCACCCTGCTCTGCTGCCAGGAGCCTTCCAGCTGGGCTTGCATTGGCAAGCCCTCAGGAGAAAGGCTGGAGCCTGTGTCCAGCCCAGGGGCATCCCTGGCCTCCTGGAGATGCTCAGTGCTGGCTGGAGTCAGAGCAGGGGCTGCACATGCCCCTTTGGGAGGTTTGGTGGCACACCAGGTGTTGGGACGTGGGGAGCAAAAGCTGAAGAAGGGTCTCGGGGTCTCCAGCATGACGTTGGCACGGCGTGTCCTCTACGCTGGCATTTTGAGGAGTGCTGAGTTACCCTGCTCTCACTGGCAGGTTGTGTGAAAGGGATAAAAGTACCAGTGCTCTTCTCTTTCCCTCATGCTGCTGAGTGGCCATGCTTTATCATACTTATTGATTTTGATCTTACAACCAATTTAACAGCGCAGCTCTCCCCAGCCCCCTGGGTGCTTCTGACTTAATTAAGTCCCTTTTCTGCTCTCCCGTGAGCCCTGTGGGTAGGAGGGGGCTGGTCATGGGCTGGGGCAGGGAGATTGTGTTGAAAGGGCTCGGGGGGAAAGAGAAAGTGCCATGAAGGGTAAAAGATCCCTCTATATGTATGGGATAAGCAGTGTGATACACAGGGAGTTGTGGGTGATGCATCCCAGCTGCTGCTGAGACCAGGCTTTGCAGCTGACCCCTTGTGCTGGGGCAGGGAGGAAGATGAGACTGGGAAAAGGAGCTGAAACAACCTGGTTTGCAGATGTGAGAGCGTTTCTGCTGCCAGGGTATCCTAGGAAACCCAGCCGCCTTTCTGGAGGGACAGGTTGGTACCTGCCGTACCTCGGGGAGAGGGGGAGAGAAAGAGTGCTAATTGCTCAGCACGCCAGAGAGCTGCTCTGGCCTGTAATTAGATGAATTAGTGGAACAATGACCCAATTTCCCTGGGTTTTTGGATTGCTGCAAACAACCCTGAGGTTGCTGCCTCCCTCTGTCCCGTTCTCCTCCCCATCCCCTCCTCTCCCATCTCCTGCTGCTCTACTGCATCTTCCCTCCTCCTCCTCCTCACCCAGCACCTGGAGACCAAGCCTGGATGGGAGAGGGTTCTGCTAGTACCCGTAAGGCACAGCCTTCTGGTTCCAAGAGCAGGTACAGGAACCCTGAGTGTTTCCACTGCCAGACTCAGTATGTACCACCCCCCTCCTGCCCCAATTTGTTTTCTGGAGACGGGCTTGAAAAAAAATCTTTGTTTTAAAAGAAAATCTCTGGAGTTCTTCCTGTGCTTGCCAGTTGCCTTCCAAGGTCATCAAACTTTCATTACTATAGATTTTTGAATGTATGTGAGGTTCTCGGCTCCTTCTCGGCAATCCCAGAGGTGGGACTCTAAGGAAGCTCCATGTGTGGAAAAAGCCAGAGCAGCTAACGGCTGGAGGGGCTGCCAGGGGAACATGGGTGACCATCAGGGGAGTGACCCACATTTCTAGGGCCCCATCTCTGCTCCACGTGCCACCTGCCTGGAAGGGAGGTTAACCCCTCGCAGCCAGGACGAGCACGATGTCGGCGGTGTTGAGATCCCTGAGTGCAGTTGTACAGCACGGGTGATGTGGGGCTGTCCCCAGCCATCCTGGCATGTGGGGGGCATCAGTGGGGGACTGCTGGGGCTGAGGGGGCCCCTGGGTCACTTTGGGTGATCACAGTGGCCCATGAGCTTTGGCGCCAGCATCAAATGGGGCTGACTGACGTATGGGCCTTTGGGGGGGTTGTTGAATCTCTGTACCTGCCCAGGGGCACGGTCTTCCCTGTGTCTTCACCCAGCCTGGCACGAGAACGTGGCTTTTGGCACTGAGGTGGCCGAGGGGCGTTGCCTGGGATAACTCTGCTCTCTCCCTGTCTGCCCACAGCATCCTCGCCACTGCTGGGACACACTTCAACACCCACGTGGACCTGCGGACGCTGCGGGCCGTGCGCGTGCTCAGGCCTCTGAAGCTCGTCTCGGGCATTCCCAGTAAGTTGGATGCTCCTGGTCCTCCTCTCAGGGTGTCTGCATCTGTCCCTGATGTCCTTCAGAAGGAGAGGGGTGAAATCAAGGAAGAGGGGACAAACCTGATGTAGTGGGAACTCTAGGGTGGCAGCATTTGGTGTCCCCAGGTAGCATTGCCCCCTGCCCAGCCCTCCCTGTACTGGCACAAGGCTGGGCTTGGTGGAGCCTGCTGGCAGCTCTGCTTCCCTGACCAGAAGGCAGTGGGTGGATCCTTTCAGGACTGGGGTTTATTCAGGGGAGATTACTTTTTTTTTTTTTTTGTTGCAAGATTTCATCTGTTGACATGGGGATAAATAAAGAAACAAGGCTACTGTTCGCTCCAGTCTTCCCATCCCTCCTGCCCTGGGCACCAGCAGGACAGTGTGCTGGATCTGTGCCTTGTGGGCAGTGAGGGGGGTGGAGCTGCACTAGTCATGCCCCACCAAGTTCAGGTGGGACAAAGACAGCTAGGACACTAGAGTGGGGACCAGCTCCAAAAACAACCCCTCCTGGAGCCTTCCTCTGTGGCCTGGCCCTCCTTCCCTTGGGATGGTGCTTTTGTCCATAGTCCTCCTGCCTAAAGGGATCCTTCAGGCTCTGCTAGCTTCTTGCATCTTTCTGAGGATGACTGTCCTTCCTCTCTGCTCACTGTCCTCCTCTTGCCAAATATGACACAGACATGCTTCAGGTAGTGGGTTTGCATCACTGTTTTGAGCTGTGCCTTTCTTTCCTCTCCCAGGCTTGCAGATTGTCTTGAAATCCATCATGAAGGCCATGGTGCCTCTTCTTCAGATTGGCTTGCTGCTCTTTTTTGCTATCCTCATGTTTGCCATCATTGGCCTGGAGTTCTACAGTGGGAAGCTGCACCGAGCCTGCTACACAAACAATTCAGGTGAGGAGAAGGGCTCTGCACCCACTTTGCATCCTTTGGGTGGTAAAAAGCTGGGAAGAGCTGTCTCCTGCCTCTCCCTTACCTCTGCCTCCTTTGCCTCCCCGCTGTGTGCTCTCAGGTGAACTAGAGGAGCTGGACCCTCCCCATCCATGTGGGGTGCAGGGTTGCCCCCCAGGCTACGAGTGCCGGGAGTGGATCGGTCCCAACGACGGGATCACGCAGTTCGACAACATCCTCTTTGCTGTGTTGACCGTCTTCCAGTGCATCACCATGGAAGGGTGGACCACAGTCCTGTACAATGTGAGTGGAGTTGCTCTGGGGTCTCTTTGGGCAGCTGGGCATGGGGGTGGGGGAGCTGGAGGCAGCACTTCTGTGTGCTGGAAACTTGTAAGATCCTGAGTTTCCTTTGTAATGGGAATGGAGTTGGTCCTTCCCATTTGGGCAGGAGATGGTGGATAGAGGCATGTGTTACATTGCTCCAGACAAAGGGAGCTCTAAGGGATTGGTCCCCAACTCTGGGTAGTGCTGCCCATTGCAGAGAGCAATGTGAGCTTGGGCTGCAACAATCCTCCTGCTTGAGGGCTGTCCCTGGGGAGGCATCCTTCCTTTCCTCTTACTCCTCCTGTGCTCCCCAGGGCCGCTCCATGAGAGGGGGCATGTTGTCTGGGCACTGCATATGTGCTCTCCCTGTACACCAGGCAGCAGATGTGCCTGCATCCCCATGGTGGCCTGGGAAAGCCCTGGAGCTAGGCTTGGACCCCCTGCCCTGGGGGGTCCAGGACATTTCAGTGTCCAACAGGGAGCTGGGATCTTTGATATTTGTGCTGATGGAGTAGGGAATGTCTGGGCTGGGTTACTGTGGTTTGCAGCTGCTTGAAGTTACTGATGGCCAAACTCTTGGGGTGCCCAGAGAGTGACTTGAGGGCAAAGCTGGAAGCAGAAAAAAAAGCTGCAGGCAATCACAAAGTGCAACATCGTTGTGGGCGACTGGCCATATAAGTATGTTTGAGTTTGTGGGCTTGAAGCAACCGTGCCTGTTCTGTTCCCAGCCTAATTTCAGCATCAATTTTGGCGTCATTGCACCGGGAATGTTTTTATACCCTGGTTCCCATAACGCCCGGAGTTTTGTAGAGTGGCATTGCTCTGCGGGAGGCAAATTGGATGGCATGTGATGGGGAAACGTGGCTCAGTGGTGCCTCTGTCATTGATGGAAAGGCTGCTTTTTAACCCCAAGGTAGGCCAAGGTACCAGGCTGCCGGTGTTGGGTCCCTTCCTCCCACTCAGTCCATCCCAGGGTACTTCTGGGGGTGCAGGATGGTGCCTGTGGACAGATGGATTGTGAAACCTAGACTGGAGTAGGAAAGAGAGAGTTCATGGAAAAGGCTTGACCTTACCATGAGGATTTGGTTTTCTTCTTCCTAAAGGAGATGGCAGTGTCAGAATCCTGCTGCTTCAGTGGGGGAATTAAGCAGGATTGAACCACCTGAGTGTTCAGACCGAAAAAAGTCGATTTCTTGTCTGCTTCTGGTGTGTCAATGGGATTAGAGACTTAACTACAGCACCTATTGCCCAGGCATAATGGAGTGGAGCAGGGAAGGTGATTTTCCAGTGCCCTGGGCAGCTGCTGCCTGCTCCCTCTGCCATACACAGCCTGTGCCTGCCTGTGGCTGGTGCCAGCAACCTTCGCTGCACCTTGTTCTTGTGTTAATGACTGTCTCTCTGCACAACTGCTCCCATCAGGGCTCCCTCCTTCTCATCCTTTGGTGCCTGCAGCAATTAGCAGCAGCGCTCCCTGTGCAAGAGCCCCAGTGGTGGTGTGTGAGGAGATGGTGAACTACACAGACAGGCAATTTGTGGTCTGATCCACTTCAAGGGTTTGTTTGAGTAAGTCTGGTCTCCTGTTGCTTGGGATGTCCTTGCTGGGAAGGCTGGCACTGATCAGTTCAGTGTCTGAGATTTACTGATTCATCAGCTGGGTCTTACTGGAGGGTAAGGATGGGAGATGCTGCTGGGAGCACTGAAAACTATGCTCCACAGGACCTACCCTGCAGAATCCCCCTGTTTACCAGCACAGCTGATAAACTGGGGTCTCTCTAGAGCCCCTGGGGCAGCCACAGCCCTGGTATCCAAGTAACCTTCCCAGCACCAGTTGCAATGCCAGGCAAACGTGCTCTGTCACTGTGTTGCTGATGGCTGGGACCATAAATAAGGTGCCTCCCTTTCCCGCTCCTCTGCAAAGAACCAGCTATTACTGACCTGTAATGGAAAGGATTAGGGACCTTCCTTGGTTTATAATTGAATGAGGATTTGGGCCTTGGTATGGTAAAATGCTACTGATTCACTTTGGGGGGTGGCAAGGGATGATGTTCCTGGCACTACTGGGCAGTACCTCCTGCCCTTCCTGGGGACACAGGCTATCTCTCAGAGTGCAGAGGTTATGGGTGCTCTGTCCTTTTGCTGCTTGGAGAAAGAAAAATGGATTTCTGCCTTTTTTTTTTTTTTTAAATAAAAAATGAGAGAGGCCCGTGGGGAGATGTGATCCCTGGGGGGATGCAGGAAGAGGGCTGGGAAACACAGGAGTACTCTGCCAACAACTTCATCACTTGGAGCGAACCAGAGCGGGCTCCTGCTGCTAACCAGCATGGACCTTGCCTAGCACATGCCCCAGGTCTGGGGGGCTCGGTGGGGGACTCTGCTTTCCCACTGGGGTAAAGCAATGGGAGGCTGTGTCCTTGCAGATTAACACTGCAGGGGAGAGGGAGATGGCAGGAAAACCACTTTAGCAACCTCTCAAAGAAATTGCTTACTATAATATTCCCCTGTGTAACTGTATCATGATTTTAAGATCCATTTTTCCACAATTTTACCGGCTCTGGGAGCGTAGCTCCCGGAATTTGTAGGCAGCATCACGAAAAGCTAATCAGCCCCATGGTACTTTCCACGTGTGTTGTTTCATCTATGTGTTTGCTTTTTGCCTTCTTTTCATCAGCCTTGCCTCTATGAAGGTAGAAATCACAGTATGGGTTAAAAATAGAAGAAAAAGCCTCAGATTGAGGGGGTGTTATAGCTTTCCCAGCTCCTGTCCCCAGGAGCCTGGTGGACACTGATTTCTTTTAGAGGGGAGTTTTGGCTTTGTAGCTGCCTCTGTGGTCTGAAATGGGCTAAGGAATATTTTGCTTTTCTTCTTATACTGGAGCATATGCCCCTTCCCTGGGCTGGCTTGAGACCAAACCTGATTTCTGTAGGGACCAGAGGGAAATACAGTGCTGGCAAAGAGGCTCACTGTCCTAATTCTCCGCCTCTGCAGCCGTGCAGGCATGGGGCAGGGGCTGGGTTGCAGTTTTGTCATTAAATGGTGATTCTGTGGGGGTGGTGGGGCTGGTGAGGGGCTGCCACTGTGTACCATGGGACTGGCCTGACACATCACAGGCACACGGTGATGCTGGTGGCTTTGGATGCCCAGCCCAGCTCCCAAGGTCCCAGAAAGCAAACTGGACAGGAGTTTGAAATCAATATTTCCTCCAGAACGCTGTCTCGGGAGGCTGTGCTTATTCACTGCAATTGTTTATTTGCCTTCCCGTTTGGAATTGCTCAGCTGCTGTGCTTGCAGGTAGCGAGGAGGAGCCTGGCTTGATGGGATCTGCCACTTTCCTTTCCCCCCCACGCTGCCAGGAACTGAGATGGGAAGAAAAACACTTGTGGCAAGGATGTGCTGGGGCTGTGGGCAGGTGGGCTCTGCAGGGAGAGGGGACAGCCCTGCCAGGCTCGTGTGCTCCTTTGCCCAGAGCACTGCTCTGTGCTCTCCAGTCACACCAGTTCTGGGCACCACAGCCCCTGGCTGGGATTTAGTGTTTGGACAACTGGCAGCACAAGTGTGAGGAGAAAGCTGGTGTTTGTAGCTGTGGGAGCAATGCCAACATGGAGCCATGCAGCCAGGGAACCCAGGGCTGCCTGCCCCTCCTAGAGCAGGTCTGGAGCACAAGTCAGATAAGGAGCAGCTGATGGGACTTTGCAGGGGCAGCTCAGTCTGGAGAAAAGGAGGCTCAGGGGGACCTTCTCACTCTCTACAACTCCCTGATAGGGGGGTGTAGCCAGCTGGGGGTACGGCTCTTCTGCTGGGTAACAGGTGACAGGATGAGAAGAAATGGTTTCAAGTTGCACCAGGGGGAGGTCTAGATTGTGTATCAGGAAAAATTCCTTCTCCAAAAATGTTGTCAAGCATTGGAGCAGGCTGCCCAGGGAAGTGGTGTAGTCACCATCTCTGAAGGGATTTGAAAGGGATTTGAGGACGTGGTTTAATGGTGAACACAGCATGCTGGGTTAATGGCTGGACTGAATGATCTTAAAGGACCTCTGCAAACTAAACAGTTCTGTAATTCTATGATTTCTGTTGCACGTTTTCCTGCGTGGATCTGGCTGTCAGCTTGCACTCCTCCTCCTCTTGTGGCACCAGGGATTGGGACCACAGGGAAGCACGAGGGCAAAACTGTACAGGGAGCCTTAGGAGATGCCAGGGCTGAGTGTCAGGAGCTTTTGCAGCAGGAGGAGAGTGTTTTCTGGGGGAAAGAACACCAAGTCCTTGGCAGCTTCCAAAACACCTACCAAAATGCAGTGGTGGTGGGCAGAGCTGTAGGTCTCCTATCCCCATGCAGAGCTGAACAGCTGCTGCAGAGAGCCAGGCGGCTGCAGGGGCGCTGGTTAGGTGTGAAGTGTGAGCCGTGTGTGCAGAGACGGCAGCTGAGACGCTGCAAGAGCGGCTGTGAAACGGGAGCTGCTGCAAGGACGGGGGTTTGCAGCAAGTGTGACTCAACCACCATGTGCTCACAGCATGCTGGAGGTGCTGGAGGGCCAGGAGGGTGTGAGGGGAGGACATCCCAGTGCTTGGCATCTCCTCTGTAAGCGGGGTGCAGAAGGGTTTTGATGAATCTCGCTGCGTGCAGAAGTTGAGGTTTCGTGCTGGTGGGCACGAGGCTGGTTTTGTTTGTGAAGGACCAAACCTGAGATCACAGAATGACAGGGAGGTTTGGGTTGGAAGGGTCCTTAAGGATCACATCCTTCCACTCCCTGCCATGGGCAGGGACACCTTCCACCAGCCCAGGTTGCTCCAAGTCCCGTCCAACCTGGCCTTGGACACTTCCAGGGATCCAGGGGCAGCCACAGCTTCTCTGGGCAACCTGTGCCAGGGCCTCATCACTCTCACTGTATAAAAATCCTTCCTTATATCTAATTTAAATTGACTCTCCTTCTATTTAAAACTGCTACCCCTTGTCCTATCACAACACGCCCTCCTAAAATATTTG